CCTGTGCCCCTGTACCTCAGCCACTTCGTTAGCAGCACCCTTTCCTCGGTAAGTCCTCTTCCTCTCCCTATGCGAATCTCCATCCGTAGGACCCCCCGCGATGACAGGTATGATGCCTTTCTTGGTTGGCCTATCATGTGGCTCATCAGTCCTCCTCCGCTTGTCACCCAACTCACGTCCATCACGGCGATCTTCCTGGCGCTCCTTATCCTTGATCACGAACTCCTTTAAGTGGCCGGCCCGGATGAGCCGCTCAATTTTGTCTTTCAACTCCCGGCAGAAATTGGTAGAATGACCATAATCACGGTGGTAAAGACAGTATCTATCCTTTCTGGCTGAAAACTTTTGCGGTGGGGGCAGAGATTTTGGTTGCGCGAGCAATTTGTCCTCTCCCCGCTTTTCCATCATCTTCAGGATCTCCCGCTGTGGCGCATTAAGTGGTTTGTAATGCTCGTACCTCGGACCCCTGAACCGCTCCTCAACCTTGGACTCCTTAGCAGCAGTTCGGCGATCACTTTGCCGAGGCTTCTCGTCTACCTGTTTAGCCTTTGTTTTGTCATTCTGAATGAAATCCGCTTCAGCCTCCTCCATATTCACATACTTGCTACACCTCTCGAGGAGCTCGTCAAAGGACCTCGCAGGCCTCTTCGCCAGTGAATCCCTGCATTTACCGGGTCTCAACCCCCGCGTGAGATCCCCAGCTTTTATCTCCTCAGCAGCAGAAGGTACCTCCACACACTCCTTAGTGTACCTTGAAACGTACTGTCGCAGACTCTTCCCCTCCCTCTGCTGCATGTTGGTTAGCGAGAGATACGTCTTCTCATGCTTCCTAGCGCTCGCGAACTGGTTTAAGAACAGAGAACTGAACCTCTCAAAGCTGTCAATAGAACCGGGTGGCAACTGGTGGAACTAGTCTTGTGCTGAGCCCTTCAAGGTAGTTAAGAAAGCCCGACAACTAACCGCATCGCTGTATCGGTGCAGAACCGCTATGTTGTCGAACGACCTCAGGTGTCTAGCAGGATCTGCCGACCCATCATATGATAGGCTCAGCTCTCTGAGTTATTTGGCAAGTCTCCACCTCGCACCTCTTCCGAAAAAGGATGACCATGCGACCTGCCCACCCTTCTCCCTGGGAGTCGGGCTTGCATCTCACGCATTTGTTCCGCTAGTCTCTCCAGAGTCAACCCCTCCTGATGCGCCACCAAGGGTCGAGATGTCGCCGACCTATCGCCATCCTCATCCCCCCTTTCGCGCTGGTGGGTTTGGTGAGGGTGCAAGGACAACTGCTGATGCACGGGCTGCCTTAGCGCTTCATTAGCTCGCCGATCAACCTCTTGAGCCTGCCCTATTGCGTCTGCTATGATCCTGTCCAGTTCCGCCCTCGTCATATGTATCGTTTGATCTCCTCTTGCCGTCGAGGAGTTGCCTGGAGGGTTGGTTCCTCCTGCTAAGACCATCTGTTGATCGTTCAGTTGGGTGGTCTCTCCTGCCAAGACCATTTGTTGATTGTTCAGCGGGGTCACCTGACCCGTGTTCCCATCAGGGACCTGGCCGACCTGACCAATTCCTCCACTCGTTGCACCACCAAGCTCCTTCTCCTTGTTGGTCAAGCCACCCGATTCTCCTGGGTTCGCCAAACGCCCTTGAGCTCCTGGTGGCGGTGTCGGGGTCAACGTCTCCTTGGGGGTAGTAGGCGACGGCGACCACCCGGGCGGCGACCCTGTTCCAAGAGCCCTCTTCGTCCACGCCTCATCCATATCCTTCGTTAAGTTTTTCTTCATGTTATTTCCTGCCATGATTCTTGTTACCTTTCTTCTTCTTTGGTGAGAAAAAACAGCCTATGATACTCTGGTAGAAGATTGAGTTTTCCCACAGACGGCGCCAATTTGTTATACCACAAATTCCTGAACCGCTCGACCGCTCCTCTCGAACCGAATTGAACCTCCTCGATCGCCGGTACCTGCAAAACACGCCGGGGGTGGTTCCGGCGTGGACACTCCGACGCTCAAGTCAGTGGTGGTGTTTCGGAGAGAAAACGGCAGAGTAACGAGATAATATGTGTATGTGTGTTATGTAGAATGAATGAACCTGCTCCTTTTTATAGGTGAAGCCATGAAGAGTCCTGGTTGTTCTGGAAGTCTTCCTAACATCTAACCCTAGTTTGGTTAGATCTTCTCAGATCATAAGAATCCTAGTTGCTGTGAACCTCCTCGTAACTTGGTAAACACGATGCCACCTCCAGGTCCTAGTCCCCTCAGTGGAATCCTCCTGTCGAGCTGCTTAGGTGACGAGGTGCCTAGGTGACGAGGTACCTAGGCGATTACCTTAGGCACTCCGCCTAAGCTAACCTCCGCCTGGCCAATTGAGCCACGCCCAGCTGATTAGACTACGCCTAGCTGATTAGACTACACCTAGCTGATACAAAGTGCGGCCTACGACCGGTCCTTTATGAACCCCATTCTCATGGCCGTATCATATGTGAACTGCAAATCAAAGTCACACACTCTAAACTTTTGTAATCGGTATTATTTTTCTTCCACTGTAACAAATTTGATCTTTCTCAAGTATGGTTATCGCAATATGTATACCTTGGTTATCGCAAATCTTTCTTCCATCAATAGCTCCAATACAATCCTAATAAAAACCTTGAAAAAGTAACAAAAATGTTATCTTAGAATGTGGCATATATCTGTCTATCACTGGAACCATGTGATGGAATATCCTTGAACTCGAAATCTTTTGGTATAAATATATCTCTTGAAAATCTATCCATATCATCTAAAACTTGTTTGAAAATTCTACCCACAGTTTAACCAGAATTTGAATTTGAAAGCGCTGTTGAGTATGTCTATTAGAAGCACTCTAACTAAGTACAATACAAACAACTCCACTTTCTCTAAAACTGACATTCTACTTGATGGTCTTAAATCGTATCTATGCTTTAAATCTAGACAATATAGGCAAAATGTGTTATGGTTTATTCTAATGGTATTAAAACATCGTTTCAAAATTTTTATCCATCTTTCTCTTGTTAATAATTATGCCATGCACGGTTCCTGATATATATTATTTGGAGTCGGTAGCTAAATTATAATCTAATTAACAAAAATACAATTAGATATTATAATATTTATATTTATTTACCAAAAATTTATTACAATATTTTCTAAAATATTAACGAAGATTGAAGTGCAATGTCAATTTTCATCAACCGTAATATGTTATCTTCATTCAAGAATAATATGTATACTAGTATAATACCCGTGTATTATACGGGTGTTGAATTAGAGAGTTTTTGTAAAAAATATTAAATTTTTTATTTTTTTAAAAAACTAAAATAATTTAATTTTATATAAAACATTACTTTGGCTTTTAATTAAATTGGTAAATTATATTTTTATAATTATAATAATTAAACACCCGTACATTAAATGAAAATATTAACCCGTGTTGAATTTTTTTACTTATATCATATAAAAGTATCGATATTATTTACTATTACATAAGTACAAAAATATATATTTTAAATAAATAGAAATAATATTGTGATATGTATATGCATAAGTGTAAAATATGTTTATTTAATATTAAGCAAAATAGATTAATTTTTGTACTTAATTAGATGTCTAATACATCAGGTGTCGTATATATATAGAGAAATGCTATGGAGCCAATGGTTGGCTCCTTGTCTCCATAGCATTTCTCATATTTTAGAATGACACTTGTTACTTGTGCGACTTACATGTGTTATATTATAATAATTTTTCTAACTTATAATATATAACTATTTTAAACATAAATGTATTACTTAAGAAATTATTTTATTATTATTATAAAGATAAATATATTTTATTTATTTTATACATACAATATGTATGTCAAATCGAAGCTCATCAAAAGATGATTAATTTGATATATTATATATGTAAAACCAATAAGAAATATAAAAGTTATCAACTTTTAAAATGCATTTACAATTCAAAGGTTATAATGAGAAATCAATCATGAATTTAGTGTGATAAAAAAAATATTAATTTATATATTCAAGCCTAACTCCAAAGTATAATTTTTTGCCAAATAAGATTCGAAGCATGAGAATTTGACACGTAGGCTCAGTGTATTTTGAAATTATATATAGAGGGGATATTAAACAAATATTAAAATAAATTCAACAAATATAAAAAGGTATGTACTTTATAGGTTTAAACTAGAACAATACCTTTTTAACTTAAACGTAATCGTTGTGAATATTAAGGTAAAATGAAAAATGAAATTGAGAATATTAATTAAGGAAATCTAACAGTATTTAGGTATCGACAATTAAAGCACTATTGTTAGTGTTGGAAGGTTTTACTAGATTCCTTTTTTAGATGTTAATTGTATTTATTTTTGCACAAGCTTCCTAATTTCTTCCTTCCACTCTCTTACTTAAAACTTTGCTCAAAAAACCTCTTCTCATCTCAGTGAGGAAAACACTCAAACCCCGCTCATAAAACCTCTCCTTATCTCATAGAGAGAACACTTTGGCAGGCTAAAAATGGGTGAGATGGCGGCTATGTGGAGTACTTATGAAGAGGTTTGTGCATAACTTATCTCTTCGTAACTAAGAACAATATACTGTGTATTCGTCAACCTTTCTTTCATGTTACATTTATTTTAGTTTTCGAGGAGTAGTTTTCTTGATTTCTGAATTGAATATACAAATAAGGTCGATCTGAAATGAGGAATGAATAATCATCTAGTTTATCTAAAACAATAATATATAGTAACATCGTATCCAATGTTAAATAGTCATTTCTCATTAAAGTGATCCCAATCATAATTCAAACATTGATCATTATTTGTGTCAAAAAGTTGTATTTATGCAAAAATTCTTAAGTACATGCCTAAATGGCCTTTGTGCTTTGTGTTTGTTCTAGATATTTTAATTCATTTCTCTTTTTTTGTTTTTCCCTTATTGTTGATGATGTAATATGGCATATTCTGAACAAAATCAGGAAATGGTGCAGATTGAGCAGAAGCTTCTTTACACGACGCTCGAGCTCGAAAAGCTGAAGTCAGAGGCCGAAAACGAGACGCGTAAAACCAAGGAATACATCCACCAGCTCATCCACCTCCTCCGTTACGCGCTCAACGAGCGAGACGAGGCCAAAAAACAGCTGCACGACCTCCAGAGCACTCTCACCGCCAGCAAGGCAAACTCCAGCATAACCGAGTCCAACAGTCTCGGTTACTCCCCTATAGAGGAGTTTCCGAGCCCTGTCACCCATGATGCGGATATAAGTGCTGTTGTTTTGAATGGCAATCCGCCAGTTTTGGCAGGCCCAGGCCCAGTTGGTCTTGACGGACGGGCCCTGCCCCAGAGGGGGAAGTTCTTGGAAGCTGTGCTTCGGGCCGGCCCACTCCTTCAGACACTGCTGGTGGCAGGCCCAATGCCGAGATGGAGGAACCCACCACAGTATCAGATGATGCAGCTGCCATTGCCGCTGGCAGTGGAAGGTTTGAGTTATAGGCCCGGCCCGAACTCAGGTCCTGACCGTTGCTCGGTTGGGATGAATGGTCTGATGATGGGTTATGCGGCTACATCTTTGGCCAATGGGCAGAGGTTCAGTTGAGACGCTTTTTAATGGGAGGTTGAGAGTTGTTCATTTGAGTTTTTTTTAAAAGGGGTTAGTAAATTATTCTCTTCTAGTCCGTGATGTTTCGTTTGATTTGCTTTAAAAGTTTTGCTTTGTCGTGATTTCTAACTTTTATAGTTTTTGTTGACCTTAAAACATCAAAAGAAACATTTGATTTGCCCTATCCAGCATAGATAGGGGTAAAGGTAAGTAGTAACTAGTAACTACGAGTACTATTATGCACTGAGTTTTTACTTAGGTTACGTTTGGTTTGATAAACCTAGTTGATAAGTTAATTTGTAGTTGATAAGCTAGCTTATAGTTTTTAAGTGAATTTGGAGCATAGCTTATGACTTAGACCATGTTTGGTAAGCCTAGCTGATAAGCTAGCTTATAGCTTTTAAGTAAATTTCGAGCTTAAAGTTGATAGTTTATGACTTATGGCTGAAAAGCTAGTTTATATGATGATAGTGAATGGTAAAATTAGTTGATAAGCTAGCTGAAATATAAATTTCAATGGACTTATTTGAAAAGCTACCCAAGGAAGCCCTATGAGATAAGCTCGAGCTTTTTTTTTAAAAAAAAACTTGTCCTACCAAACCAAACTTATTTGAATACATGAAGCTTATAAACTAATCAAGTAAACAAGTTAGCTTATATGTTTACCAAACACAACCTTAAGGTGACCTAAAAACTTCAACGGATTCAAATACTGCACTAGTGTCCAGCAAACAGTGACATATTCCAAATTTGAGGGCGAAGAGAGAGTGAGAATGTCTTTCTCATTCATAAATCAAATAGACAACATAAAAGACCACAAATCCTATAACTTAACAACATAACTCTCACTGACCTTAATTCACTGATGAAGTCGGCCCGCCATCACGTATACACTTCTGCAGATGTTCCAAGCTGGCAACCCTTTGCATAGAATCAGTTCTTACAATCTTGTTTGCTCCAATCCCAATAGTCGTACTCTTTTCTTGCACGACATTCTCAGATGCTGGAGGGTTTTGGACTCTTTGATCACTCGTCAAATGATTATTATTGTCACTATCATTGTTAGTTGTAGTGGAATTGGTAGACGTGTAATAGTAATTCTGTTTCTTTGGATCGTTATCTTGTCTTATTGGTACAGAAGAATCCGGTGATGTGTCACAATGTGTGGTGGCGAATGGTGGCAAGCCCAAGGTCGATCTTTCCGACATGACTTGGAATAGTGGGTTCAGCCCGGTTACTCTTTTCACGGTTTCTTCAGCCATTTTCACCTGCAAGAGTACAAAACCTTGAAGGGAATCTTCTAGAAATTTCGACCATTGTACAACAAACAGCCCAACCTATTTTTCCGCAAAAGTCAAAATCACCTCTGAGTAATAATATCAAAGCGAGGATTTAAATAGCGAGAGCAGAGTGGAGTATAATAATCAGGTGAGGGGAATATAAGGGTTATTTCGGTAAAAGAAATTTAGGGTGTGCTTGGATACATATATATCTGTTCAAAACGAGTTTTTTTGGTTAACTAGGGTTAATTTTGAAAATGCGGCATGGTTAGTTGTTGGTGGGATTTTTAGTTTATATTAAAATAATATTTAAAATAAAAGTTTTAGGATAGTGAGGGGGGAAATCCAAGAGTTTGAGAATAATAGTGTGGGAGTGGACTGAATGACAACTATTTTAAAGTCAGAACCATCGAATGAAAATTTTCACAGCCTAAGGTACTGAACAGGCACAACCCACATAACATCTTTCAGCGAAAAAGCAGATTCCGTTATGTGAAACCCACACATTACCTTATGAAAGCGTACTCATCATCAATTTGGATTTTGGAGTATTGAAGTTACCTTGGCTCTCAAGGTCTCAACATCAGCTTTAAGAACTCTATTGTCAACAGCTGCTTCATTGTACTTCTGGCTTATATCAGTGAAGCGCTTGAGCAAGGAAGAGTTTTCGCCTTTCAGTTGAGAGACCTACAACGAACACACAAAACCAAGATCTAATTATTGAAAGATAAAATTATAAAGAAAGACGAATAAACGGGAGTTGAATTTGTACCTTTGTCTCAAGCTCCGTCAAATGAGCCTGCTTTCGTCTTCTTGATCGTCGAGCTGACTCTCTATTTGAAAGCATCCTGAGAAAGTTCAGACGGGAAAAGGCCTTTAGATTGAAACTAAATGGGTATTATGCCAGACTTATGGAGTATGAAGATATAATGACTTCTTGAGTCGGTCAACCAAGGAAGTTGTTTTACCATATATGAATATGGCTAAGATAATCACTAACCCATGCACATATCATAAATTACTGGCATCTGGTTTGGAGATAATCCTGTTCTCATTTCTCACATCACACATAAGAGTTAATTTACGATTATAACTTTTCCTGCACAGACTCATATCTTGTGGATGCTACTTTATTTAAATCGTTCAGTCCATTTTCCGTATAAGGTGCCACAAACTCAGCAGGTATTTCGTTAATAATTATAAAGTTTACTAGAGAAACAGAAAGGTACTGAAACTAAGTGCATCAACTATATAATCAATCAGACAAGTAGAACTCGTTACTTTCCCAACTTTCACAGTAACACCCCAAAAGGGAAAAGAATAAAAGGAAAGCCCAAGAAATAAAAGTTTGGGTTAAATACCTTCTCACGCGTTTTGCATCCGAAGGGTCCATATTCTGGGTAGTTTCATTTTCTCCCTCAGCCTCATCATCATCAGACTGCTCCCCTGAGGAACCACTTGTTGTTGACTTCACCTGTGCAGCAGATCTCCTGGAACTTGCAAGAACTGGAGGCACAGCAGCTGAGTCCTTGTCTTGTGCCTTCAATGAATCACGTCCTGCTAAACAGGAAAATGCAAATCCAACATAGATATAAATGATGATATACTACTAGTTCAACTGCCTTAAAAGCATTTCCATGATTGTCACAAGTAATACCTGATCTCCACATTAGCTAATTATCATACTAGGGAAGTTCATTGGCGGATTGAAGTTCTATAGTTTAGTTTTGTAAATGTTATGCCTCAAAACGTTCATGCTCAAGCACTTAATAACCGAGAAGAACATTTAATAACCTTTACAGTGCATTGAAGTTGATAGCGAAGCAGAAAAACATTCAATTCCCTAAATAGGAAACAACATTGAATAACCTTTACAGTGCGATGAATTTGATGCCTGAGAGCCGATATCTGATACTGCTGCTGCCACCGACTCCGAATCGCAAGTTTTTCCTTTAGTTGCCTATACATCAGGGTACAACTTTCAGTGGTAATAATTCTTTTTTTTTTTTTTTTNGACAATATACTATGTAATGTATGTAGACAAGCCATAAGCCACTGCACAGGCTAAATACAGACTCATGAAGACGAGTAACAAACCAAAATCTGAGAAGGGATTATATGGAAAAACCCCAAAAGGCACAACAGATGACGTCCACAAATTTCTCAGCTGAGCATCATCACTAAAAAATCAATTTCACAGGGAATTCCGAAATATTATCCCCAATTTTCTCTAAAAATGCTAAAAAGTTTCAATAGGCGACGCAGTAAGTGATAGAATACAAGTTACCCGGGTCAACGCGACCGCTGCGCAGGCCAAATCCAGGCGGCTCTTGAGAAACGCCTGGTACTCCTCAGAATCGATCGGAATATTCAGCGGCGGCCCGGCGGCAGCCGCCGCCGCCGTCGGCTGCTGATTTCCATTGTAGTGATGATTGCTGCCCTTAATCTCGACGACGTCGTCGCTTTTCAGGGACGCGCTGCTGTGATTGGGCGAGACGGCCTCCTGCAGGAACAGCTGGAATGCCCATTCCGACGAGCTGCGGTTCATCTTCGAGGAGGACGCGGCGGCGGCGCAGGAAGACGACGACGGCTCCATGTCAGCATCGTCGTGGAGACGAATCGGAGGCGCGTGCGGCGACCAGAACGGGTCGGGCATCTCATCTACTGAAAACACTCTATCCATCTCTCTCTCCTCTTTCCTCTCTCTCTCTCTGCGCAGTTGTTGGGTAGATAGTAAAAGTGATCAGGTACGTGGTCTAATGGTGTTGGTAAAATTAATTTAATATTAATAAAAGGAAATTACACAGTATTTTTTTGCATGGAAAAGAGGTTACTTGTACGTTTCCTCAATTATTGTAAGAGCATCCGCACTCACAGCGTTTTTTCTTGGCATTTAAATAGATGGGGAACGTTAGAGGGATGTGGCGCATTCAATTTAATGTGTGGCCCCCACCTAGTGCTGTAAATGGACCGCATCGAACCGAGCTTAAACTGTTCGAGCTCGAGTTCATTTACGTTCGAACAGCATTCGTGTTCATTCGTTTATTTTTCGAGCAAAAAATTGTGTTCGAGCTCATTATCGAACGTAGGGGAACGAGTTCGTGTTCGTTCAATTATTAAACGAGCCTAATTTTCTGTTTGAACTCGGCTCGATTAACAAACGAACGAACTTTTGTCGAGCTCGAACGAGTTTTTGTTCGCGAACGTTCGGTTCGTTTGCAGCTCTACCCTCTCCCCCACTCCTGTCGTTCAAAGTCTTGAACGGCATTACTTTTTTTTTTCTTTTCCTTTTTGGTTTTTTGTTTTTAAACGCTATTTTAATGTCATTTTTTTATTTATCAAAATTATTAACTTCTCTTGTTTCTTATTTTTTATATATATTTAATTCAATTATTATCCAAATCACACTTTCCAAAATTCATCAATAATTTACATTTTTTATCATTTCATTCTTTTTATACCTATAAATACACTATGGTTTTATAACTTTCTTACACTAATAAATTTAGTAACTGTTCATTTGCTTAAAAAATAAATCCCAATAAGAGGTAAAATTTTGAAAAAATTTCAAGATCGAGAATTGCAAGATTATACAAGTTTCGAGATTTGAGACAATACTATGCATCACCAACTTTGTGCAGACTTAGTTGAGCATATTTGTACTCATTTTGTTACCCACTAAAAAGTTTTTTTTCACTATTTTTAATTTGTAATCTTAATTTAAGTTTTTTTTATGTAATAATGTTATTTGTATATTCACGCATTTTAGATTAAGTATTCTAATTAAAAAATATATATTTATTTTTAGTAAAAATAGAATATAAAATTATTATTGAATGAGTAGATAATGGGTCCTATATGTTTACATTTAAATTAATTAACCATCGTGGGTGTGTGTTTAAAAAAGAGATGTTTAGTATAAAGATGATGTGGATGAGAGATGGTGTAAATTGTGATTGAGTGAACGAGATAGAAATTTGGATGCCCTAATCTGGTTCATTTGTCAACTTTGGAAGTTTGACTCTAAGTAATCTATGGCCAAGTGGATTTAAAATATAAATTTATTGATGAAATAATAAATATTAGAGTTTATAGTGTCATTTTGAAAAGCTAAATAGCTAATGATAAGATGTGGTTTTGTTTGAAATTTTTTATCCTTAAAGATAATATTGGATAATAAATAACTTTATTTATAACTTTAATTGATTTGAGACAAGGAACTAATAATTAATTTTGATATAATAGTAAAATAATAAAAGTGTTATCAATTGTTAAAATACATGACTGAATGTACGGCCCAATATTATAAAAAAAAATACATATTATAAAATAAGTACAATAAATCAATTTTACAGAAAAAAAAAATGCATACTTATAATTAATGATATTCACCAATGAAGATATACATATTTATAAATTAAATATTCGCTCAATAATTGTCTTTGAAATGTCTTGTTAGAGCATCCACATTATATTGAAAGAAATTATTGGCTATTGGCTATTGCCATGTAGAAAAATAGATCTAGCGTAGAGAAAAATGTTATCCAATATAATAGGTATATTCAAACAAATTATATGCCATGTAGAAAAATAGATCTAGTGCAAAAAAATATGTTATCCAATATATGTGAAAGTATACACCATAAAATAGGAAAAAAGATATTCTCCAATAGAAGTAAAAGTATACATAATCCAAATCCAACTGATGTAGTAATAATAATAAATATATATATATATACTTGATCTAGTCTTAATCTATTTTTAAACACATGTAGAAGCCGATTTCTTTGAAATTGAAATGACTTTTAACGATTGTTAATTGTTTTATTTGTATCATTCAAGACTTTTAATACAAAGCATGGATGATCTGTACGGATAGCTCAAAAATTTTAAAGGCGCCTTAAACCCAAGGTGTCCACTTTATCTTATGACAAAAAACAAATGAGGAAAAATGGTATAATAATCAACCACGGTATAATAATCAACCACTGATAGTCACGCACTCATAGCCAAATTGGTACCGAGAAATTTTGGTACACATACAAAAACAAGTAGCTACAAACAACTTCAAAATACAAAGACCTTACAAGACATTTTATGGAAATTTAAGAAGTCTCTTTCACGCCGGAAACTTGAACTTTTTGCTGCTTTTCCTCAACGGCAGTTGTAATCCTCTCACCGGACAGCTCTTCAGACGACTCTCCATCCTTCTTCAGCTCCGTCTCGAATTCTTTTGCCGCCTACAGTTGAAAAGGAGTCAATAGACGTAGAGTTGCAAAGAGCCAAGCCAAGTCGAGTCGAACCGAGCATTGACCTTATCGAACAAGATTGATTTTTATTTTTTTTACCTGCTCGAGATCGATTGAAGTAAAAAATGCTTGGGATCACTATTTAGGTTTTTAGTAATTCACTACTATAAGGGGTATTTTAGTAATTCACTATGAGCTCGGGATCACTATAAGGGGTATTTTAGTAATTCACTATGAGCAGCTCGACCTTCCAAAACCTATGCTCGGGATCGACTCGATAAATGCTCGAGCCGCTCGAGCTTGGCTCGAGTTCGGTCAAACTCGAGCTCCAGTCGAGCTTTGACTCGAGCGCTCGCGAGCTGCACTGTTCGTTTGCAGCCCTAGGTCGACATATTACCGTTTCATATGAGCTCCGAACCAAAAATAAATAAAACGGGTCAAATTCGTAAGGGTTGATTGTATTTAACTATTTACTGTATCATTTGTAATCACGAATCACGAGCAAACTCGTGCAATTAACGAGTAATAAGTTTGCACTGCAAGATAACAAGTAACCAGTGTACTTGTTTCGAGTTTTAGTAACCAATAGTATAAAGACCATTTTCATGAAAGATTAATAAGACTTCACAGATGACACCAAATAGTAGGCAAAAGTACCAAAGGCATGGAGAGAACTAGTTCAAAAAGGGTGCTAAGTAGTCTATATACAATTTCAAATCCAATTGATACTTGGTAAGATAAGGTTAGCTTCAACGTTATATGCTCTAATCTGTAGAGATGAAAGAATAATAATAAATGGAAAAGGCCAAATAATGCAAAAGAATGGCGGCTGCAATTTGGATTTTCTATTTAAGATAAAGTGACGGTTTGAATTGAATGTGAGACTTTGTCAAATAATGTAATCCACTCAATTAGGCTACATTATAAATTATTAGAGAAAGAATAATCACGTGTCTAGCTCTTCAGATCATAGAAGAGACAGTTTCCAAATTGCCTTTCAAAACTTAGTGTATGGCAACATTTCTTTAGGATTTGACAGTATGGGACTCTCAGAAAATAAGATACTAAAAGATGATTTAACAATGATCTTATCTTTGCCGATCTTAACAATAGTTTGCATGACCACATCTCGATCCTTCATATCATCAACCTAAAGGCTATATAATTCAATATATTGTTCAAGATTTTCCATTTGTACGCCAATAGTTCAAGATATGACCAGAAATTCGGAGTACAAAATTGCATTAAAGCATGACATATTACTTGATAAAATCTGGAGGACCTGTCTATCATGGATTTGTACTCCAAACATCCATGTTTTTTCCTAGGACATAAAACTCTATTTCTAAGTTGCCTTTACCTACAGAGAAGTTCTGGAGGGAATAAATTAACATTTCCGTTATAAATTTAAACTAACAAAACATAAATTTATAAAAAATCAGTTTGAGGACTTTACAGAGCTCAAAATCTGCATTTCAAAAGCACACCTCCATCAATTTTAATTTGTATTTTTGACATACTCAAAATAACTGAATCACACCACAGATTTCTATGGCAAGCTCGAATCGTGCTAAAAGCAATCATATTACAGCATTTATACAAATCAAGCATGCTTCATACCAATAACGAATGAGCAAGTCACACTAATAAGCTTCTTTTTAAACCTCAATGCCACTGATTAACGTAACGAATGAGCTCTGAATATTATCCTTCGTTAACCGTAAAAACTACACGAAACTTGATCCAACAACTAGCGTATACAGCTGGATGCCAACAGTCAATTCATACATTAGAAGCTCCCAAAAGAAGATGTGACTATCACGTAACTCCAAATAACCTACTCAACAACTAATAAATTGACAAGGAACAAGTATCTAGAAGATTGCAGATTAACTACTGTTGTTTGGTGGCTGTATACTGAGTTTAAGATAGTCCTATTCTGCATTACTTTAGGGTCTTCTAACAGTACATTTCTTCTATTTTATATCAAACTCTATTTATCCCTCATGTTTCCCCTCAATACCATTCCATATTCCACCAGCTGAATACAGCTCTAATAGGTGTGGTGAGTGAGTTCATTTCCCTACATAATCTTCTAACAGGCGTGAGGTATTCGATTTCCTGTTGCTTCTTGGTTATGCCATTGTTAAAATCTGTACCATATTTTACAAGCACATAATATCAGCAAAACCCATTGAAATCGGAATTTTGAATATCCATAATATAATCGTAACAGTAACTATAGCTGCTGCTAATTGCACAAGAATCCCTTTCCCAAAACCACAGATATCTTATTTATCTTCTTTATCCTTGATTGAGAAATTGATCTCAAAGTCAACTACCTCACACAGAAACACAAATCTAACCACTAGGGCATCTTCAAATCTCAGAAAGTAGAAAGACTAATCAGATGAAATAACAAAACATCAAAGCGAAAAAAAAGGCCCAAAAAATGTAAGGATTGAGAGAATTATAAAAGGTGGGACCTGCTGGAAACTCTTGACCGTCTTGCCAATACTACGGCCCACCTCCGGCAACTTCTTCGGACCGAAAACGAGCGCGGCCACGCCCGCGATGACGACGAGCTCGGGAACCCCGAGCCCGAATAGGCACTTGCAGGAGAAACCCCTTTTCTTAGCTCTCCTGTTGTGATCCACCGCGAGTCCGAGTCCGGCACGATTAGTGATGTTATAGCTGAAGAATACTGAGTTGGAGGAGGAGAGAGAGGACAATTTTCTTGCTGATATGGGGTTTATGCTCAGCGGCGTTGTGAAGGTGGAAGATGACGCGGCAGCCATTGGAGTCGATGGGCCTTTTGACTCGTGTTCTGCGTGTGAAAAAAATGTGGAAGGAATAGATGAAGTTAGATGAAGTAGATAGATAAACGTGCTTTCATCAGTTCAGGTAGAAATTTTCTCATTTAATGAGTATATATTAGTACAACACTCATGTATTACATGGGTGGGGACGATGTCTCCTCCCGGATTGTTCATGGATCGATTCATAAAATGTGAGATCGGTATCCGGACAAGTCAAATTCAGAATCGTCCCGGCCCGCACTCACCCCTACCATAAATAATCAACATATTATAGATAATCCGAACCTAAATATATTTGGATTAGAAGCAAATTAAATCTACTCAAGTCTAATAACGAAGCATGTAATTTTATCACATAAGATCTCGAAGCATGCGAGTCTGCCACATAGGCTTAGCAATTAATATATAGGAGGATAAGGTTAGTGTGTGCAAATTAATTTGCCGACCATACTAAGGGCCCAAAAAACTTACAATATTGTTCCTTGTTAATAAAACTCAACAAAAAATTTCACCTATGTATATTATACATCACTATAGAGAACTGAAAATTTATTAGGTCAATATCCAGCTCCATAAGTTGAAAATTATTGTTTTATTGTAAGATACAGGGAAAAATGGGTGTGGTCCCATATACGTGAAGTGCACCATAGTAGCGTGAGCCTAGATGCACCATAGTGAGGTTTCATCCCAAAATCAATTGGTGTGGAAGGAGAAGTAACCCACTAAACTTATAAGTTGGGCCTATTTTTCTTGTGTAAATAATGTGGGACAACTCACAAGTGGTCATTTGGTTTCTTGTGACACTTGGATGGACATTCATCTTCGTGAAGTGTTATTCTGTGAACATCTATTACGTGGATGTCGTAATAGCTGGTTGCGTTTTCTATCATCGAAAATAAAATATGCTTACGCTTTCTCTGCTCAAGAGTCAAGACTGCACAATGTCACCCTATGTTGGTGGAACTGAAAAATGGGACAACTCACAAGTGATATTATATTCTAATATGCCCCCTCACTTGTGAGTCATTCACACGAAGACGTATATTCTGTGGACGTCGTAATAGCTGGTCACGTTTTCTACCGCCGGAGATAAAATATGCTTCTGCTTTCTCTGCTCAAGACTGCATAAGGTCACCCTATGTTGGTGGAACTAAAAAATGGGGCAACTCACAAGTGGTATTATATTCTAATACGCCCCCCTCACTTATGAGTCATTCACACGATGACGTATATTCTATAGATATCATAGCTCGTCGTAATAGCTGGTCGCATTTTCTACTGCCGGAGATAAAATATGCTTCCGCTTTCTCTGCTCAAGACTGCACAAGGTCACCCTATGTTGGTGGAACTGAAAAATTGGACAACTCACAAGTAATATTATATTCTAATACGTCCCTTTATATTCTAATACACCCCTCACTTGTGAGTCATTCACACGAAGTCCAAGCCCAATTAGGCCGGGTAATGGGTACGTCATCGCCAGGATCCAGGTAGGCCGACTCTGATACCATGTAAGAAACAGGAGAAAACGAGTGCGGTCCTATGCACGTGAAGCGCACCATAGCAGGAGTGAGCCTAGATGCACCACAGTGAAGTTTTATTCCAAAACCAATTGGTGAAAGAAGGAGTAGTCCACTAAGCTTATAAGTCGGGACTTATTTTCCCTGTATAAATTGGTACTAAGCTTCTTGACACATGTCATGCAGGATTTGAAGGAATAGAAATGAAAGTTGAATGATGTGGGACAACTCACAAGTGGTATTATATTCTAATACATATGTTTAATAAAGAAAAAAAAACCCAAATATGGAAACAGATCCAAAAGGAGACAAATTTGGTTGGAGATTTGGTAGAATTTCGTAAGTCTTTAAATTTGAACAATTTGAACTAACTCGAGCTAATCGAACACTCAAAAAGTTCAAATAATTTCATTTAACTAAACGAGCCGAACACGAATGAACATGAACTTAACGAGCAACCAAACGAACGGAAATGAACATAAATTTAGGCTCGACTAGCAAACGAAAGAACTCAAACAAACTCGAATATCAGTCGAACTCGTACTCGAAAATCTTAGACTCGGTTCGGTTCGGTTCGTTTACTACACTAATTATGCATACAAGTAGAGTTTTTTGAGTATAAATGCTATTGCCTTTCTTTATTGTTGTGCGCAGTAGCTTGCAGAACGGATCTTTCCTGTGCTGTAGTCTCCCCACAAATTCATTCTTCTTTTTCGATAGTGATCGGTTGTGTTATCCTTCTTCCTTTCTTCTTTCTGTTTTTAGTACCTAACTATCTGGTTTACTGTCACTTGGGATTCTTTAGAGAAATATCATAAGAGAAGAAAGGAAAGCCGATTCTTTTGCATATTATATAAATCTTATCAATTTACAAATATGTGCTAAAATATTTGAACACCAACAACCCCAAATCTATAGTAATATAAAGAGGTTGTTGGAAAAATACAAAAATAGTAAGGTTGACTTTAAAAAATAATCGTTTGACTTACTACTTTAAGAAATCATTAATCCTACGAATTGCTTATGTGCACTATTGTTACGATTTACTTGAACATATCCGAATTGGTTGAGATTCCTGTACACTTTAAAAATTGGTTGAGATTTTCCTGTAATTTATTAACCGAAATCTGCTCTTAAAGTGGTTTTAACATGTAAGCGTAATGGAATATAGATATAGCCGAATTGGTTGGGAATCTGTTTGTTTAGGATTTCGGCGAATTCAATTTAATACTTGGTTGAGATTTTCCAATATCAACGGATTGTGTGTATCCAAAAGCGTATGGATTTTCTTAAATAATTTCAACAGATTACTATAATTTTTTTTTTTGGAAAATCTGTAATTAATTTGTTAACATTTTTCAATCCTCGCGAGAATGATGGAAAAGGTCCGTTTAATTGAGATTGAATCAAAATTGTCCACATCTTTTTTGCAAGTAAATCGGATTTCAAAGTCATTGTATTAGTTATGCAAGTAAATCCCGTAATTACTTAATTGAGATTGAATCAAAATTGTCTATATCTCTTTGCAAGTAAATCGGAAATCGCATAATTAAATAACTGAGATTGAATCAAAATTGTTTACATCTTTTTGCAAGTAAATCGGATTTGCCAACTCATTGTATTTGTCATGCAAGTAAATCGAATTATATCCATCCAAAGGATCAACACAATATTTAATTTAATTCATTTTTAAATACCAAACACATGCTTATATAAACATCACAAGACTTTAAAACAGATATTAATCACGCACATATCCCACAATACACTTTTTTTTCAAGCTTTTACAACACAATTCAACATGTCTTCGAATTTTGGAGTCATCAAGGATATCGACAGATCCAAAAAACCATCCATCAAGCTACGCATAATTAGGATGTTCCAACGAATTGAAGATGTTCGCAATTGCCGAAATGTTCTTGAGATTGTCTTTCACGATTCTGAGGTAATATATTCTTTAACAAATTTGATATCTAACTCTAAATTCGGTGTTAAATATTTTTTATTTTATGTATTTACTTATTACGGTTATTAAATATTTAATTATTGCGGTTGTATTTTATTAGGGTTTACGCATTACGGGTATTATTCGACCTGTCAACATCAAAAAATTCAAGGACATTATTGAAGAAGGTGGCGCTTATGTCTTGACAAATTATCAAGTTGAGAGTAATATCGGCATCTACAAATCGACGATAGGAAAATGGAGGATCATTATCCATGGCCAAACAAAGATTGGCAAATGGAGGTGGGATTTTCCTATGTTTCGTTTTGAGTTTAGGAACTTTCTTACTTTGATGGATGTTCGTAACATTAAGGAAGCTATGTTGTTTGGTAAGTTTGATATAAATTTATATTTTTTAACGTCATTTTTTTTATATTATTTAAACTATTTGTAATTTTATACATTTTAATATGATACCTTTTTTTTTCTTTTTTTTGTAGATATCATTGGATTGGTTGTTTCAATACAACCAATTCAAATGAAGGTTGTAAAGGGAGTTCCTACTCAAATGATAGTATTCTCTATTATGGATTTGGAGTAAGGATTTTTAGCATTATAATTTCCAATTTGATAATTTTTATATCATTATTTTAGATAGTGTTATTTTCTGCGATGTATGAGGAAAAACACATTTATTAATCTAAAAACAAAACAGAATAAATTATTATTATAAATTATTATTATTATTGTTTTTAAAATATATTTGAATTTATAAAATTCGTCACCACATTTTCTAGGGGGAACGTTAAGGAATGCACTGTTTGGGGCCGATATGTTGATCAGTTGATTGCGTTGGAACATCATTATGAAAATGAAAAAACACCTTTTGTCATCATAATGCAAATGTGCCGCGCAAAAGAGTGGAGAGGTAAATATTTATTTTAATGCACCAAATATTTTCGATAGTTTATTGATAATTGATACTTGAATTGAAAATATTATTGATAAGAATTGTCTATTACAATATTTTGTGCATTAGGTGATGTTCAAATAAGCACGTCAAAGGATGTGACCATGATCATTGGTGTGGATATTCCCGAAATTGAAGATTTTCGGAGAAGGTATAAATTATTTGTTATATAAATATTACCAAATTTGTCTAATATACCATATTTAATTGTTAATTGTATTTCCAAACACAATATTATATCTTACCGTTTGTAATCTACACTCTACAACAAGGCTGGCCGCGAGTAAGTTTAAGGATACCAAATTGGTTTCAAGTAGCTCAATCATTGTGAAGACTGAACTACAAGGACTTGATGATGGTGACATCGTTGTTTGTTCTGTTGATGCTCTATTTGCGTATGTTGAGGTAATTATCTAGTAATCTAATATTCCAATACTTAATATTTCGAATTTTTTAATAATACACTAAATGTATAATGTCCTAAGTCATGGTAATTATTATTTATGTGTATTAACTTCGTAGGAAGTGGACATGTGGGTTTGCGCAAGTGTCGATTCCATCATAGACGATTGGTGGTATCTTGCATGTGTTCGATGCAATTCCTCGATGGAGGATGACAATGGGAACTATGCATGCCGGAAGTGCTCTCATAATCGTGGCACATTTCGGTTTGTTAATATTAATTTTTAACTAATTTCTTAATT